AGGGTGTCAGAGCTGAAGGCTCATTTTTATTACTTATATGGATAAGCAGTACACAACAAACTCTGTCACTGACGTCGGGTGTCTTGACATGGAGATCGCCAATTTTACAAGCTAAAAATGCAGATCCGATCAATAAAGGGTAGTATTCCTGGGGTGATTCCAGCAGTGAATCGTAGAAAAGCGAGGATGGCAATTTCGGATGCATTTTGGAGAGCATCATTACTAAAGGAGTTGTTGAGTGGAAGAATTCTATACTGGCTTCACGCTATTCCTGTGACCATAGTTGTTGGACGTTAGGAGACGTTCGAATGCATTATGTTATTTTACTTGTGACTACTATTCAACAGGTAAGTAGCACGATTTTTATGGAAAACACCAGTGTGACATTCTCTGGGATGGTCACGGTCAGCTTTTGTTTGTGCTTATTGTACACTTGCTCTTTACACTCGCAGTCGTCATAGTTCAAGGCCACAAGCAACAGAAGAATACAAAGAAGGGGCTTTGAAGTGACCGGCCATTCAGCACTCTCATTCTAGCTCGAGGTAGCAAAAAACAGCAGCTGGTCGGAATTTAAGTTTCATACCAACTGAAATCCCGCAGATGTAAAAAAAATCGTCAATGGCATGAAGCTTTGGGAAAATCATACTGAAGCGGATTACCACAGGATCCCATTCCCGACCCATCTACACCCTTCTAAAAGGTCCTAAGTGAATTGTTCACGGTCTGGCTATACCTTTGATGGGAGGATGAATTTCTCTTATTCCGGTTGTCCGACCGCTGAATCTCTTCTGGGGAAAACACTCGCTACAAAGAAAGCCTTAGAAGCAATGAGATTATACCAGCAATGTATCCTATGGGGTTTTTTGTCACCCAAAGTATTCAACCACATTTTAACTATTTACTGGACACAACTGCTATGGGTCTGCCTCCGCAATGACCACTGAATTAAAAGACCGTTTGTGTGGGACTCAGTTTTGCTGGGTCCTGAGTTGCGTGAATAATCGAGCCTTATCGACTGATGTCACGTCATTCGGTGGCCAGAGTCAAATAACAAACTGCAACTAAGAATTCATTTCAGCTGGGTCTGGTCATCAAAAAATGCTATGGCGGCTAAGCAACCTGATAGTGAGTAACAATCAGCCGACGACCAGCAGTGCATCAAGCAGTGATTCCAAAGTATGACTTTAGAATGATCATGCCTGTATCCTCAGTGCTATGCACGCAGCGGGATGATAAGGGCATCGACAAAATAATTAAGGTGTCTTATCATTAGCAGACTGTTGGTTTAGTAAACAACATTTAGTGAGACTTCATCACTTTATCTTAGATAAGATGATGATGGGTTGTGTGAGAGTGCTGTCGGCCAAGATGAATCAGAGTTAACCGAAGGGAACTTAGAGACTATCCTAGTATTCAGCGTCACTTCTTGTGAAACGCACTCAAGTGGATTCGATCAATTAGTTCCATGGGTGAAGCCACTCAAACCTTGTCAATAAGGCGCGTGGGTATTAGGAAAATCTAGGTGACAAAATGGTGACAGCTCTCTAAAGGGGGGTCTCTGCCCGACAAAGTGATATTGGTAGGTTCCGTGCGTGTTCTGTCTAGAGAGAGCTAACTGCGAAGGGCTGGTCACGTACACAATATAGCTCAGATTCGCTGATGGTGCATTATTAATAAATAATGAAAAATCGTTCAACTGCAACACTGTTTCGGTGATTAGACGCCATGTTACCCGAAGGAAGTATGACGGCTGCGGTACTGCCGAGCTGCCCAAACCCAGACAGGAACAGGTGGGATGCCAGAGTTGGCTAACCACCAACATTCCGGTTGGTAATTTCACGCTTTAACCAATGAGCTTTCTCAGGCTCCATTGTGTCCATAAAGCAGGAGCCCTGGAGGAACAAGTCCAGTAGCAAACTACTCAAAGGAACAGCAATCCTGTCCAAGAAAAACATCCATAGATTCATTTAGACTGAGTGAACAAGATTCAGCCTATTACTCCAGTAAAAAGTGCTCCCCTCCTGTCGAATGCTGCGAAGACGTGTTTTTGTTGCACACAAAGTCGCCTTTTAAAAATGGGATGCACCGTGCTGGACCAATCCGATAACACTGCCAAAACTCACTGCGCTTTCACAGCCAGTGTTTTAACTGACCGAAATCGTTGGTTGCAGAATCTCGGACATAGCAACCCATTGACATTTAGGACCAGACATTTTGCTTCGCCACAAGCACGTACCGTAACAGAAACTAGCAAATAGTAGATGGTTGGTATTCCGTGAAATATATGTATCTGAGCCAAATAGAGAGTATTATTTTCTGTGAAGTTGGATTTTCATTTCATCTGAATGTAGGAATAATAGTAATGAGCCGAACGGTCTCATGTTAACTCCCGTGAGAAATAAGTAAACGTAGGTAACCGAAAAATATACTCACTCAGTTGCTGTGAACTTATCATGATCGTGTATGAGAATTCTAAAAAAACAATTTTAACCCTACAAATAGCTATACAAATTATCAGGAAGGTCAGATTCCTGAAAGCAACCTCAGAACGCCCGGAACCCACTGCTCCACCAAAAACTCAACAGGAAAGCCGGCAAGCATCCAGGTTATTCAATCATTCAATCAATTCAGCAAAACCTGATGAGTGTTCTTGCACGCTACAGAAGCACGACCGAATGTGATCAGCGTTCGGGCTTTTCATAGAGGCACGATCGATGTTGATGGGTGTTCATTAACGCCTATCAAACAGCCTGGATCAATGTCAGAAAGTCCCTTTTAAATAGCGTGGCACCGTTGTAACGTTTGCTCTCGCACTCGTTTGTTCGGAATATAGCGGTTGTGTTCCCTTCTGTGAGTCTTTTTTCTCCGGCATTAGGCACTGGAGCGGGTTAGCAGCAGATATCACATATTGACGAATCAGCAGATATAACACAAATAGATACAGAAACTACACATCAAAGGTCGTCTGAGTTAAGAACAGATCGAAGTAAACCATTACTGGTATATTGTAGTACTAGCTATACGATTGCTGAATACCATAAGCGAAAGGATTTAGCCGTTGAAACAGACTCAATTTGAAAACCAGTGCGCCCCACTAGTTATTGTTATCGCTTATTCCATTATCTACCGGGCTAGAAAATACACTTCAAGATGACCTTGGAGTTGGCATCCATGGAATTGGTGGAGATCTAAATGTTCAAGGATGTTTGAATCACTTTCCCCACACTGAGTGTGGGGAAGCATCCAACCAAATAAAAAGGAATTTATTTGTTTCGACCTTTCTGTAAAATGGTAACGACGCGTGCATCTAGGACTGGAACCTCTGTGAGGGATTCCTGTTAACTCGAATACGATGAGGATAAGAATTACCTTGGTTGTTTGCTCCATATCAACAGTCTTCCTAGCACAGATGATACTTCTAGAAGATGGCCAAAATTTAGGCAACTGAGGAGGCGTTCCTGTCTTCAGACACTGCTGCATCTTTTTTATTTCTATCAGACTGAGAAATATTGTCCCTCCCAACAAGATGCCTAGTTGGAAAGATGGTTGGAGAATTCAGCTCCCAGGAATTGTTTGTTTTCCGAAAAATATGGGAAAGAATTGAACTACCTGTGGTATAACCGCAGGGACTCGATCAGTTCTACTCAAAAATTCAATCTCAACAAAAGGAATCTGAACTAGCACCTGTTCCGACCTACACAGAGATTGACAAACAAGCATTCTCTGTCGAGGTTACGTACTGTGTTGCGGACCAAAGTTTGGGTAAAATGCAGTCCATCAAAATGAATTGGCGTTTCCCTGCCTCTCTCCAACAGTTAGTTCAACAAGTTCAGTGTGAATAAGTGTCGAATGACACCTTGTTATATGCAGTAGATCGTTCCTCAAAACAAAAATGAACGTACAGATTAGCGTTTGTCAAAGGTTTCCGTCCAACCTAATGTGTGCATGGGTTGCGAGTCAGTTATTTGAAGGTGTGGGTCTCTGGATATGCAGCAGGAGATTAGCTGAATAATTAATCTGTCCCCAAAGATCGTACTGCTGTTTTCGCGCAAAGCTTGTCACTGCCTTCCGCAAATCAGTCAGTGTCTCTAACGAATTGAACGTGGAGTATTCTCTACAGAATGCCACGAAGCAGAATGTCACAAGAATGAGAGATCTACGAGTCTGTGTGACCATCGTTCTACTAGACCGGGGATACCACACGTTATGAGTGTGAAATTGCGTTGACAGCGTTTTATCTTGTATTTTGTCGGTAATATCAAGAGGTTTCGCGATTTCAGTTTAATTTGTGTCTTGTAGGTGAAGTCAGTTTGTGCTAAAAAAAAACAAAAGCGGCTTTTTCAATCTTGTGGGGAATCAGCAGCAGCAGGCACCTGAAAATCTCTAGGTAGATTCAGACCAGTAACCTGCCAGTTAGTAGTGAGACACTATGCCATTCGGCCATAAGGGGTCCATCAGCGGTGTGAGTAACGGACCATTCCACAAGAGGTCGCGCCAATCATATCCCATCCGAGTAATCAACATCACCTAGTCACATTTGACTGGTTCTCCACAGGGAGACCCCCCAAATGGGGTTCATATGACTTATCGGGTTTCCCCCACTTGAAAAGTTTACGTTTCGTTGGTAGCACGGGTCGAGCTTACTCAGCCACTCCTAGTCGAACTGCCTTCGAGATCGAAATTACGCATACGTTTGTGAAATACACGCAACTTATGATCAACAAGGGAGCAACATCAGAGCAATGTCATTCTGTTCGTCAGCATAGTCTGTTTCCATCTGATAAATAAAACCTTGATAAAAAAAAACACAAAATCTTATCATACTATTAACCAGTGTTGTATCATAAGTATTTCAACAACCCACAATACCGCGAATTGATACGAAAACAGTAAGTTGGGCTAAGGTCTAAGGAGCCAGTAGCTTCAACATCTGGTCAGGTAGTCGGGATGGAACCTGACCTTGAGAACGCTGCTTGTGGGATTTTTTCCTTTCTCAGTAGATTACTTGTCGCTGGTTGATACATGATACAACCAACCAGGCAATATTTCCACATCAAGGTTTCCCTCGAATCAAATTCTACTATTGTAGGTAGTGAATATTTACCACACCTAACTCACGAAATTAGCCTATGAAAAAAGATCTAGCAAATTACTCACCAGAGCATTTGGCTTCAATCCCTCATAAGGAAAGCCTTATCTTAAACCGTTAAATTTTGATGAGAAGTTCATTGATCCTTTATCAATATTCATTGCAAAAGTAATCAACTTTCATAGCTTTTGCGATACGGATGACTGCTGCAGAGATCGGAACGAAAGAACTTTAAAGTGTTTGATCCGGTTGTCAAGGTAAAGGGCTTATAAAAGAATCAACATTTCGACCAGATGTTACTATGGTGATACGTGTTGGTGCGCTAATTTTGAAAGCGGCCGGCTTTCAGAGCACTGCAGAACGCCGGCTATTGTGGCAGGTACAGGAAGCGAATCTGAGCATAGTTTTGTGTACGACAGCAAAATACCAGTGGCCCTGAAACTGATCCACTTTTTTGTGCACTAATCAACTCGTTTGAGTTTGAAAAGCCAAGTTCTCGTAAATTTCCCGGTGAAGTCAATAGGCTCAGTGTCACACACGACGATATAACACCCAAATCACTGTTTCACTAGTAGATGGATAGCCTTTATCTCTGGAGACAGGAAAAGTACGGTTTAAAAATGGGTTCACTTTCAGGTGTTGGGGAACTTTGTTGCTACAGGTCGGTTTTGTTCTTTCTCGCTTGTGCAGAAAATAAGATATTTTGTAAATGAATCGAATGTAGTTTTGACTTCTCCTCACTCACCTGGGTAAAGCTCTTCCGAGACTTAAAAAGGACACCTCACTGTCTCAGATGTCGTGAAATACATGTATTCCGTAAATTCGATGCGAGTAGATTAAGTAGGATTCCAAAGTGCTCTCAAAAGCGACACTATCTCGAAGCATTTACTGGAGATGTTTGCCAATCGGGCCCGCCATTTCTGTTATTTTGTGCAGTAAGTAATACCTTTCATGCAAAATCCCCCGTCTAGTTCTTGACTGTCACCTTAAGAGAAAACTACGTTAAAATTAGACACCCAGATTGGATCAGGATGACGACAAATCAAACAACTAGCAAACAGATCGGAGACAATCACACTCACCGTGAGTTTCCGTACCAAAGCAGAATGTTAACCACCCGACTATCCTTTAAAAGACCTTAATGCTATGTGTAATGTACTACTCATAAGTTGCTGAAAACCCATCCACAGCCCACGACCGGTTTCGCCCTTCTAGGGGCTTACATGTTGGGCACATTCCCATGTATCGCGATATTTCAAATATCGTAGCGACTGAAACATGAGGCGGCCTGGTGCAGCACATTCAGTTGCCTGAGAACATCATAAACGAGAGATTCAGCTGGGTTCCAGGTGAGTCCCTCGAAAGAACCAAACTAGTTTGCAGATGAGTGTATATTCGCTAAGACCTTAATGCTGTTTTGGAGAGATGGTGGGTTAACACAATCGCCACATTACCGTTCACCCGGTCAGCATGAACAATCCATCTAAAGAATTCGATTTGCTCTGTGAGATACGTACTTGCCCATAGCCTGAGTGATGGCAGGCTAGTTTAGACAAGACGCAAAGATTGAAAGATATTCCGGAAATAGGCAGCGAATAACGTTGGACGGATGAATGACGATGACTCAGCGTGTGGTGTGCTCTCCCTGGATCTGGGACTCAAGCAACTTGACACAAACACAATGGTAGATAATGAAGGGGGTTAACATCCAAAAGATTGGCCTCTTCAAAAGTATAATGCAGTAATAATCGTCTTTCCTGCTATATTCACCAAACTTTCGTTCCACAAATAAAATCGATCGAGCATTACTCGACAGATCCTATGTGATCTTAGAAAACTGGTTTCAGCGCTGATATCCAGAAACGGATGCCAGATCCATTATGTTTCAGCCTGGTCGCCCTGAATCAGACAGTCGGTGATCGGTTAAAACCAGCATGATATTAGCATCGCAACATATCTACCGATTATAATTTCATTGGTCGATGTTTTCTTTATTTCTCTGTTGCAGTGCATCTATTATGCGACCTCTTTAAAGGCCTTCTTGCAAAACTCGCCGAAGGAAGGGGGACTGGTTGACTTTCAGTGGAAGGGAAAAATACACTGTGTTTGACTAGAAGGGCGACTCCGGGTCTTCAGGTAATTGACCTCTCTCAAAAGGGTACCGTTTGAAAAACAGCCTCGTGACTAGCCGTTCCCAGATTTCCACAGTCTCAACAACGTTTCCTTCATGAAAACTGAGGCTTTCAAGTTGTTTGCTGGTGGTTCTTCTAAGCACTCATATTAATACTTGTTTTCAGAGCCATCGATCGTAAACAGGTCATTGATGTCACTGTGGGTGGCTTTGGGGACAGAAGATGAAGGTATTCCTATGGTAAACGCTGACCTATTGACAGAGACTGACGGGCGATAACCACCTTTTCGTCACAATGTTTGAAAGGCATTTTACTAGAGGCAATGGATAGGGTATGGGCAAAAAATTTGCACCTCTTTTTTAATGAATTGGGGTACTTGGAACTTTTGACCTTCATGAACACCGACGGAATTAGGCTATGCACCAAAAGTCCACTTAGACTGAATATTATCGGAAATTCACAATTATTTCTCCATGGAGCACAAATGTTCGACCTTTATCAAACGGGGCAAAACTGATTTGTATTCCGAGTAAACTCTGCGGGAAAAGTAAATTGCGCGAAAACGGGATGAAGACGAACCGCTGAAAACTCCTCAAGATCTTGACTATCGTTCCCGCCAAAATACGAGGCAACGCATTCAACTGAATATTAGTCAAAGCAACAGATTGGGCCAATATTCAGTTGCACCAATTGATTGAGAGTTCGATTTTTTTTGACAGTTACGTTGAAGACAAAGTGGGAGAAGAAAAATCACGTTGATTCTGTAAACTGGCGATATTCTTTTAGCCACTGTAAACCAAGTCTACATGTTGCTGAGTGCTTCCCCGTATATATCGATGCAGCTAAATACCAAGGTATAAACAAGAGCCAAAACACCAGCACGTTTTTCATCGATAACTGTGTTTATCGGCTTACATGTAGCACGGCGACCCCCGTTCAGATGACCTCACATTGCGAACCGTCCCCTACTCAACTTTGCACAAACTAAAAGTCATGTGGCAGTTACCTACTCGCTACACAACCAGAGTAGAAATTTGTTTTTCATTTTAAGGTAGTCAACCCCACGGACTGAGGACCCCCCAGTATAATACTAAATAATGGAGTAAAGCCTGTACTGAGCGTTCGATGGTATCCATGGCATTGTTCTTGTCGTTCACTTGGTTACTGCCGACTAATTTAACATCAAAAGACGGAATGATGTGCAATCGGTGAATAGATGTCGGCCTCAGTTACTCTACAACCATGACAACTGAACTCTATCATACGATGGTTAGAAGACAATTTTTTAAACATAGTGGTTTTTCATTCAATAAACAGCATCGGAGTATCATGTTGAAAAAAACTGACGACTTATCGATAGAAGAGCATTGAATCGTGAAATTCAATATACAAAGCTGATTCAGATGTGTTCAACAGTCGACAAACGGCTTTTCTATACCATTTGAGGATTGTTGATATTGAATCACGCTATATATTAATTCTCAACTCCAAGCCTGATTAACACATATCTGATAGCTAACACCTTCACAATTTTATGTTGATCTAGCTGAGCAGGCGCGTTTTCGCCATCAGTTGGTACCACATCCTTTAATAAAAAGACCTCATGAGGGATCGAGTGTAGCTCGATGTCCTCAGGAGGCTGTTGAAAGTGATTTCTTGCTTCCACTTAGTCTTCGTGATAGAACTCTCACTGGAATTACCTTAGCTGCAACAAATCAATGAATTCAGATACTTTTAGCAAACTGTTACTTAAGAACAATCTCTGAATCTAGGTCATTTGAAAATGTCTAATTGTGAGTGAACGGATCAGATAGACAAAGTCGAAAGAGAAGTGTCCATTGCGGCCTCGCGAGCCGGATTCTGGGTCGAAGCCGGGTAATACCTTGTCGGTACTAAACCCCTAAACCGAATTTCCTTTTTCGGGAAGTGCACTAACAAGTTCACCTACTTTTTTCCCATCAGGATGGTGCTTGCATTCTACTCAGTACCAACACAGCAACTTGTCTATAAGTTAAGATTATGGATTTTCATAGTTCGTTTTCGCATTGATTTGGCAATCATAAACACTGGTTTGCATTCTAGCCTGGCTGTAGGTCACGCAATATTTCTATTGTTCTGTCAACTATTGTTGCAGTATAAGCAATCTCAGCAGTGTGGATCCAAAAGACTAACACTCGTCAGCATGGAAAGATTGTTCAAAGCTGTGCTTTCGTCTTCCGGCTTTTTCTAATTAGAACGCCGTTCCGTATGATTAATTGATCTGGTCAGTGTGACAAACATCGCTTCTTGTGAAGCTCTTTAGTTTGACTACAGTGTCCCACAATAATGGTCTCATAGTACCAGTTGTTTGACTTTCTGTAATAAATCAATCAGAAAATTGATTAAGAAACTAGGATATCGACTCACGGCCAGCAACGCCTTTTCCACATCGTCGTGCACTAAGTCCACACATTGTCGCTTTTCTCTCTGATAGAGGCATTCTTGGGCAATGTGTAGCTGATTCTCCACTTCAGCTAACAGCTTTTCTGCCACGCGTTTGGCACGAATTAGATCAGTGATTTCTTTCACCATCTTGTCCAATTCATCGGTGAGCTCGTTCTGCCAAAATGCGATGTCTGATAGGCGGTCACCTAGTTGCCGGCTCGATTCGTTCTGGTTGTGCTTTGTACGCTCGTTTGTCTCATCCATCAGGCGTTCGGAATCGTACCGAAGACATTCGGAATCCTTCTGACCCCGGTCATTGGACTGCAGCAAGCGTTGGTAGTTAGCAAACCAGTCTCTTGGTGTGTATCGTGTGTACAGTGCATTTCTGGCCGCCGAATAAACAGACGGCACACGGATCCCGCATAACTCACTGAGCTGAGTTTCCGGCGCGGAACTATCCACTTGTGAGTGCGACAGTGGGTAACGAGGATTGGCTTTCGCAGAGGAATAATAGGTAGCCGGACGGAAACCCACAGTGGTCAGCGTACGCTTGTGCGGATATGGTGAGGGGCACGTGAACGAAGGTTCTTTGGCCAGTTTTGGCAGAGTGGTTGCACAGGGGAGTTTGGAAACTACCGGCTCTCGTCGTGTTGATGTTAAATAACATGTTGTAGGGCTATGGCCGATAAATTCCATGCTTCTTCTAGGTTAATAACAAAAGTAGTGTTACGATAGGTAACGGAATAGGCGCCCTCGGCTATCGTCCTATTGTATTTCAAACTGGTCGTATTGATCCGATCGACGACCGCATCTGATTGGCTTGTCATCTCATTCAGCTGTTCATTCACCCATTCAAGTAGGAATGTGGAAAACAAGTCCTATCCTCTCCAACCCGGCACAAAATCCTTGATATGAGTCTGTCTGTTCATATTTGTTTGTTTATTGCTACGTTTGTGAGTAGCTATGGACTGTTGTGTTTCCCTCAGCTGCCGAACAGCACTGAACCTACTATGATGGTTGCTCAGAAACAAACCGATGTGTGCGCATACAATAAGGGGACTGTGGTGACAGAAAATTACTGATGTCCTTGAATGTGTTTATAGCTTATGACCATGCAGTAACAGCAACGAGGAGAACAAAAGCTCACATAGGTTTTCTCATTTCAACACTCTTCGGAAAGGTTACCACTTGTAACTCATCTGCCTGCAATAGAGTATTTTAATCCCATTAGTCCAAAAGCTAACACTACGGACTTCCGTTTCGGTGATATTCGTATCTATTCACCTTCAAAAGTAGCAAAACACCGCCAGCCTATAAAACGGCTGGACCAATAATTCATAAATACGGGGGTCAAGCCTTCAATCCGTCGTATAGTGGTTGTAGCTGCCACAGTTTGGTTCACCGATGATTTGTTTGGGGGTAGGTCATCATCATCATTGTCAGCTGTAATAACCGCGTACTCGTCGTGCAGTGGTTGTAGCTGCCGCAGTTTCGTTCGCCGATGTTTTTTTTGGGGGGGGGGATAGGTACAGTGGGCTGTCAAGTTGGAGGGGTGGTTGGAAAAGGAGCTATGCAGTGAA